CGGGGGGGGGGGGGCATTGTACTAAGAAAGTGAATAAGGAAATATTAAAACAACAATTTTTAATATATTTTTACAAGTAAAACGATTTACATTAATCATAGCCTGCTATTCGCACTAAAAAGCTGCTACGCAGGCTACATTAATCATCACACTATAATCTCATTACTTCTCTGACAGTGACATACACATTACACATTATGGACGTTTCCTCAGTTTATACATTTGTTTCTAAGTTACTGTATTTTAAAGACTGTCAATGTATGAAATAAACTTATTTCAACATACTGTTGCTTATGTTGTAATAATGGTTGCTTCGACAGTCTGCAGTCCTTGATCTAAGATATCACTGGGAAGTGGCTGACAGTTACGTTTTGTTTTTTCAATGATATTTCCAAGTCTTGTTAAAGCTTTCTTTATTGAATCTTGATCTTTCTTCACGTCTGCCATGCCACCATATAAGTTCTTCTCTTTTTCAGAAATGGTTTTTGTCATTTTTCTTATCTCATCATCTTTGATTTCTTGTGTGTAAGATGTTGACGTTGGCCGTTGTTTCAGGTTGAAAAATTTCCCTCGTGATTTACTCAACTCAACATTCAACTCTGTTAGATTGGCTGTTGAATCTTGCAGCTAGAAACAAAGAAATAGGATTATTAGATTGACTGATCTGATCGCCCCAGCAATGAGTTGAATATTCTTGTCCCAAATGTGGGATCAGATGTATCGGTAGTGTGTATACCTGTGCTAATAGTTCTGTGACATTCTCGTCTTCTGTCCGCAGCTTGACAGGTAACTCTGATGATCCATATCTGTCTTGTAGTTCCCTGATGCCCTCTTGTACCTCTGTCTCACGTGATTCTTGCAATTTTGTTTTATGTATAACCCAGGCTGCGTCAATATATAACTTGAGATCACGTTTTCCCCAATCATTATATGCGCCGTCACTACATAGTTCCTCAGCTGTCGTATTCCAAAATGTCCAATATACTCGTGTCATTTCAGCATCTTGCCCGTTTATTTCACGTTCAGAGAAGATTCGAATACTTCTTAGTTTGGCAAAAGGGTAAGGACTGTCTTCCTTCTGTTCTGATGCTTTGCTCTTCTTTGCTGGGGGTTCCTCTTCACTCCCTCCTTCCTGCAATATGTTTTCAGGAGTATTATCAACACGTAAGCTTTCTTCTTGAGGTTCACTCATATTTAATGTAGCTGCTAAAATGTGGCAAGTTTCAAACTTTTGATCTTGTCAACAATACATTTTCCCTAACATAGGCCTGCGAACAGGTGTATATTCAGCTGTGATTAGGATAATACTTACATGAAGTTTTTAATATCAATTCAAAATGGTGGTGTTTAAAACTCCTCATTTCATATTTTCGTGTAAAGCAGTCCAAATTTCTAAAATGTCGTAGTTTAAACGTGTTTATAACAAGCATGGAAAGCAACGATGGAGATAATATATTATTAAATTTAACTACGGAACAACCTTATTCTGTGGCAATTATTAAGAAGACAAAATCGAGAGTAAGTAGAACACGTGTTCTTATCAATATTCTATGCGTTGTATGTCTTTAGAGTAAATATAAATATTCTGTGTTGTCCATATTTCATTGGAAAATGATGGTTACTTGTCTGTGCATTCTTTGCTGCTGCAAGTGAAGAGATATTAAAGCGTGTTCCTTTTAATACATCATGTCATTTGTCTTGTGTATATTTGTATTAATGTATATTCCTTTACAGTGATATATTCTTTATTTTCAAAGCAAAGTGATTCTACCAAAAAACCAAGGCATGTTAAATTAACACAAGGATCAGCAAAATGCAAAAATGTTCACAAAAATAAGGTGATGTCAGCAAGACAAATCATTCCTTTTTTAAGGCCGTTTTCCACAAGGTTATTTTCTGTGGGGAGTGAAATAACCCAAGAAATCACAACACAAAGAAACATTCCGCTCCACATGGAATGTTCCGCCTAGTGGTAAACAGCCTTTAGTTTAGTATTATGAGGTATTCTCTGATAAAAACGTCATGATGTGATCTCCAAATTTATGTTACATGTACAATTCTATTCCAGGTGTCAGAAGATGCAAATTCTGAGAAATTTCAGGTATATGCATGAATAATTGTCATTCTCAGGTACTTGTGTAATTATATCAATTTTGACAACATGACCGTGTAATTCTTGACAACAAATTCAAAAAGTATGTATAGGGTATAGTTTGGTTTTGAAGGAAGGATTCTTATCCATTCTCAAATTTAATCAGTTCATTTTGTTATGTTGTCAGGTTATTTCATCCCTGTTTCGAAAGAATCCAAAATTGCCAGACATCTCCAGGTAAGACATTTATAACAGAACATGCTGTACATATGTTGTAATCTATTTTCTAATTACATACAACTAAATCATTAATTGCCACATTCCAGTGCTGTAATTCAATCCGAGGACAAGAAGGAAGATGGGACATTCAGTGGAAGTGAATTCAGGAATATGAACTTAGCTCCATTTATGGTTCGTTCTTCTAAATATTTGAGATGACTTTTGAATAGAGGAAATGATATTAAACTGACCCACAACAATGAAATGAGCATATGGACTGTTATAACTTCCCCAGCTATGTGTATTTGTTTTAGAACATGTCGTATTAGGTAGACCAACTTTGAACACAACTCCTTGCCATAAAATAAGAGTAATGTGTTCTCTTCTAATTTGCTTAGATATCAAATCTTGAGAAAAATCTTCATTTGAAAAAAATGACTAGGTTTGTATGAATTAGAGTAGATGACTGTAATAACTAAAGCCATCAATGCACAAGACTTTCCTTTTGATGAATAAACTTGTCTGGCTAATTAGACAGAGTAAAAAATAAAGTTGTGTGCATTTAAGCACATAATTTGCATTTACCATACAAGACACAATTGTGTTCTGTTAATCAGTTAGTTAATTACTGCATTTCTCAAGTGTTGAAATAAGTATTTTGTTTTGTTCAGTGTTCAAAAAGCTTCCCTGCCGTCATTACTAAGTGGTAAAGATGTGTTTATTAAATCACCAACTGGCACAGGTATACCTGATTTGGATTCATATGGTTGCGTGTGTGGCAGCTGTATTATATAACAGTTTTCATTTATTTCTTCCTAAATGACATTGTCTTCCTGTTCTAGGTAAAACTTTAGCATATGTCATTCCTGTTGTCCAGTCTCTTCAAGATATTCTGCCAAAAATACAGGTAATAAATAAATAAATAGATATTGTTTAGTAAATGTATATATTATTTGTAGTGAATATAGTGTCTTTGATTATTTTAGCGTATAGATGGTCCATATTGTCTGATCTTGGTCCCAACCAGAGAGGTAAATGTGTTTGGAACATTTTCTCTATATTTTGTAGTAAACTTGTAATTATGGGTCATTCCAGAAAACATCCATACCACCCCCACAGAGGAAATAGGAAGTTAACCCCCCTACCCCCTTCGGATGTCCTAATACATTTACTATTATCAGAAACAATTTTTTCTCCCCGCCCCCTCCGGACGGCAGAAATTTCCTCCATGGGAGGAGTATGGATCCTTTCTGGAACGACCCAATGACATGGGTGGTTTGTTTTTAGCTGGCCAGTCAAACTTTGACAGTTATACAACAAGTTTTAAAGGTAAATTATGATTTTAATGATCACTTTGCTATATGGTTTGTTCAGACTCAAGAATAGAGTCTATTCAATAGACAGCCTCATTATTCTTCAACTCATTGAGCCGCAATGCGTTCTAGCTTACTTTTTTTACTTGTCTAATGCCAGACTATTTACTCATCAATTGGGAAGCTCTGCTGAAAAAAATCTGACAATGTCTCTAGTTAACCCATTGAGCCGCAATACACCCCAGTGCACCCTACTAATTTATTATCTTACAATGTCTAATGGCAAATGTTTTTACTTTGCTGAATGGGTTAATTTTTGTTTAGCCATTTATCTGGATTGTCCCTGGCTGTGTTACTGGAGGAGAAAAACGCAAGTCAGAGAAAGCGAGGTTGTCAACATTTTGTCCAATTTACACAAGAGTTAGTGAATAATAATGAAGTTTTTCTTTTGTACCAGATTAAGGAAAGGAGTTAACATATTAGTGGCAACACCTGGAAGACTTGTTGACCATCTTAAAGTATGTCATTGTAAATGTATATTTTTAAAATTTTATTAGCTTTGCCATGATAAGTACATAAACTAAATAGAGTACAAGTGGCAGGGTTATCGCAACAAATTTACTTAGAGGAATATAAGACTGTGATGATTGAAATTCTGTTAGAACTTTAGCATTTATTTTATCTAGACTACACAATGCCTGACAATGGCACAACTTAAATGGCTTATTTTGGATGAGGCTGACAGGTCAGTTTATAAATAGTCAGTCCATGCTTAAAAATATAGTTATCATCACTCCACCGTGACAATCTTTCTTCGTTTCTTGGCAATTATTCTCTAGGCTGCTTGACCTTGGCTTTGAACAAGATATTTCTTTTATTCTGTCTACAATTAAAGAACATACTTCAAGAAAAGTTCAGAAAGTTTTATTATCAGCAACTTTATCCCGAGGTATGGCAAGACACTATACATTAACGTTCAATAACTGTTGAATGTTTATACTGATAAAACCTTGAAATAAAATTGTTTTATTGTCACAAGGGGATGCTAAAAAACTGGGTCACAGAGTATATACTTCACAGAGGTCTGACTAATTGGCAAAACATGTAAGCAACCTCTGTGCACCCGCCATGTTCCTTGTCAGTTTACTAACAAGAGGAACTTGCCCCACTCTACTGCTGAACTTATAAAATAACCCCGCCATTTGGAATGTTACATAGCGGCTGGTTACATGGTACTGTAGTCTATTACTCTGTGACAGGTTACTGCCTCTTCAACACACAACAACTGTTAAATATTGATAAATGACTAAATACTGACTTCTATGACTTAGGTGTTGAGAATTTACTTGATGTGAGTATGGAAAATCCAGTTACCATTGACTTGACTAAAGAAGGAAACTCAGAACGGGAGGTATTTAATTAAACCATTGTTGACACGCAGTATTTTGTTCACACGCAGTATTTTGTTTACACACAGTATTTTGTTTACACACAGTATTTTGTTTACACACAGTATTTTGTCTACACGCAGTATTTTGTTTACACGCAGTATTTTGTCTACACGCAGTATTTTGTTTACACACAGTATTTTGTTTACACGCAGTATTTTGTTTACACGCAGTATTTTGTTTACACACAGTATTTTGTTTACACACAGTATTTTGTTTACACGCAGTATTTTGTCTGCACGCAGTATTTTGTTTACACACAGTATTTTGTTTACACGCAGTATTTTGTCTACACGCATGCAGTATTTTGTCTACACGCATGCAGTATTTTGTCTACACGCAGTATTTTGTTTACACACAGTATTTTGTTTACCCGCAGTATTTTGTTTACACGCAGTATTTTGTTTACACGCAGTATTTTGTTTACACACAGTATTTTGTTTACACGCAGTATTTTGTCTACACGCATGCAGTATTTTGTCTACACGCAGTATTTTATTTACACGCAGTATTTTATTTACACACAGTATTTTGTTTACACCTACCGCTAGTACTTTGTTCACACACAGTATCTTGTTTACACGTAGGTACAGTAGTATTTTGTTTACACGTACGTAGTATTTTGTTTACACGTACAGTAGTATTTGTTTACACGTACGCAGTATTTTGTTCGCACGTACGCAGTATTTTGTTTGCTTCCCCTGAACTGCACTCGATTGGTAATTTATGTTCGTTTCTTATGTCGTATAGCAAGTGGAATATCAGACTCCCAGTCTCCTTGAGCAGTTCTGTGTTGTTGTTCCTATGAAGTTAAGACTTGTCACATTGGCTGCATTTCTTCAACGAAAATACCTGGTACTTGTTTTAATGAAATAACGTCTGCTGATTTGTCTTGGCAAGACACAATTACAGTAGTGTGAACATTAGTGTTGTGTTTATATTTTATAGAAGAATTGCAAAATCATTGTATTTTTCACAACGCAAGATTCTGTTGACTTCCATTTTGTGCTTTATTCTTCAACTCTTACAACAGTGGAAGGTAAATACAATTACCATTCGTAAACAAGAAGTGCTTGAAAAACAACAGCAAAAAGTGCACAACGCTGGTAACCATAGGCGTCAAAAGATCGATAAGTGTTTGGACCATATTCATATATTCGTGTTCACAGACCGTAAAAACAATTTATTTCAAAAGAAATTAATAATGCAGACCACGAATATATGAATATAGTCCCCCATTATCGATCTTTTGACGCCTATGCTGGTAACAACAGCATTAATGACGACAATAAATTTCCTAAGCCGTTGGGCATTGAAATGTAATGCATAATACTTTAATGTACAATTACTTTACAATACATTATGCGAAGTACTTTAATTTGCTGTTTATGCTATTGTGGTTGTTAATATTGATGTGTACAGTATGTTCTTGTGGTGATTGTTGGTGTCACGTGTTTATATGTTTGCATGTATTTGGCGAAATCTAATAAATAATAAATTACTTAACTAATTAGTAAATCTCAATATGTATCTCTTGGTATAGGAGATAAATTGAAATTTTTGAAGCTTCATGGCAAACTATCACAACATGTATGTCTAGTGTTTTCAAGCAATATCATCAAACAGAGGACATTGGTGATAAGTTTAATCTTGTTCTAAATATATTGTTTCTTCAATCCATGTTGTTTCACCAGATGTTACTTTGTAATTATTCTTTAGGAAAGGACTGAGGTATTTTCAAATTTTAAAGATTCAGACCAAGGAATTCTTTTGTGCACTGTAAGTGTTTCACCTTAGTTTGACATCCTGTGGCGAGGTTAATAAATTGTAAACTATAGTGCCTGCCCTGAGGATTTTCAGACCTGCCCTGAGGGTTTCCAGACCTGCCCTGAGGGTTTCCAGACCTGCCCTGAGTTTCATCTTAGTTTGACAGGTTGTCTATGATTACTACGTTGCGGTCATCCTGTGGCGAGGTTTATAATAAATTGTAAACTATTTCTTTGTTTACATGCTGACATGCTGGAGTAGAGAGTTTAAGTTCGACTTCCGATACCAATAGCAATGTCTTCACTTTCACCGGGAATTTTAAAGCGTTAAGTTATCACGATAAAGTATAGAACACCGTCACCCAAAATGTGCGGTATGCTAAACAGCAGCTGAGCTAAAATTCCGACTAAGGCGGTGATAATAAACAAATAGTTTACGTGTTTATCGAAATAGTTATATGAAATACCTGATTTATATGAGTTTATCTTACAAATCCCACAACTTCCAAAACAAGCTAGGCCGACTTCGGTATAGTGGTGACTTCCAATACAATTTTATTCTTGACAGTTCTCCAAGAGCTAGGCTCATCGAGGGAGTTCATGTTGACTTTATTGGTATCGGAAGTCCAACTTAAACTCTCTAGTAACGAATGGACTGCAAGGAGTTATTTTATTGTCTTGCAGGATGTCGCTGCCCGTGGACTGGACCTTCCTTCTGTGAATTGGATTGTTCAGGTATACGCCCATGTTGGGTTTGCATACGAATTGTTACAAGAGACATTTCAAGCTCTAGATTAACAAAGTAAAGGTTTGATAAGTGTTGTTCTAACTACATTTAACTCATTGGAATACATGATATTGTTGGGAAAGCATTAGCTAACCAAGGTTGCGTGATTGCATCATCCTCTTTTCATTCGAGTTTAAGTGTTGCAACATGTTATAACCCGTATACAGTACCTGTACATTATACATGAATAACGAAATATAAACCTAACCCGTATACAGTACCTGCACAATATACATGAAACGAAATTCCATCTAATTTCCATTTCAGTACAATCCTCCTGTTAGTTCTACTGATTATGTTCATCGTGTTGGACGAACAGCAAGAATTGGCATGTCAGGACAAGCACTCCTCTTTCTTTTGCCCACGGAGGTATATACTGTTGAGCATGCGCACCAGTGGGGCCTTTTCCACAGATTAGTGTTTTCAGTTTGGCATTTCTATCAAGGAATCAAACCGACAACGTCTTTTTTAACAAATGTATTTTTATATTTTAGGTGCCGTATTTAAATATTTTGAGTGAACAAAATTTAAGGTACTAAGTTTTATGCTTCATTTTTTTATAACAAACGATAACAGACTAAAGAGAGCCTTCGTCTGAGCCATTACTCAATACGGCGAGAAGTGTTTCCCGTTTAGATTAACCGGCTGTCCATATTTACAAGAGTCTACGATGTTTTGATTTTGAAGGCTTAATGAACTGAAGATGAACGATATTCTCACTGCATTTGTACGCTCGCACTGTGGAAAAAAGAAAACGAGTGAAGAATATTTACACAGCTTGGTAACAGAACAGCATATGAAGTTTGAAGAGAATGTTTTGCAGAACAAATCGTTGAAACAACTTGCTCTAACTGGTGAGTAAACATGCATATATAGTCGTCAGAGAACGTTTGCCTTTTGCTATAGAGATTAGAGGCGTCCATCGAGTGCAGATAATATTTCGATAAGCGTTCGCTAATTTGGGGTGCTCTATTAGTTTAGTTGGTGCCAGTCTAGGTAGCAACGATGACAGCTTCGGATTGAAAGAGATACAACTACCTGAAAAATTGCTGTATGTGTTGGTGTATGTACTCAGGTGAATATGATGTTTGTGATGTTACTCTGAGTGTGCACACCGGTCAGGCTGAAAAGTTTATCGAACCCGCCACCTTTGGGATACTAGTCTAATGCTCTATACCAACTGAGCTACGAGGTCAAGTCGATTGGGCAGATCTTAGAAAACATCGATATCGAAGGAACTAGATCTGCCCACCGTGGTCAGGCAAACTTTTCAGCTTGCCTGAAAATATAGGCAGAACTTGAACGTTCGAGTGAAGGCCTTTCGTATAGGGCCTTCTCGTCGTATCTCTTTCATTCCGCAGCCGAAACTTCAGTAAGTATTAGAGGAGCATTTGAAGTTGTGTTGTGCGTTGTTCCTTCAGTGGACAAAATAATCCAAGACGAATATTGCTATCTATATTTTCGTTTAGTGTCAGACTACACATCACAATCAATAAAGATTCATCACTTATTTTTAGTTCCATTAGTAAAATTATAATGATGAATAATTTTCTTTACAGCATTTCGTTCTTTCATTGGAGCGTACAATACATTTCCCTCATCTATCAAACACGTCTTTCATCCACGCAATTTACATCTTGGTCATTTAGCAAAAAGTTTTGCTTTGAGAGAAACACCGAGTGAGATGAAACAAAAATTATCTTTTAAAGAAGGAAGGTAAATATTTGTTTGTTTAGTTAATCTGCGAGCTTGGAAGTTGCGAATTGCGAGTTTAGAAGTTGCATGCATGTTTAACCCCAAATTAAAATCATGCAAATGTGCCCTATATGACCGGTATATATTAGAAAGTAGGAACTAGGACTGACTGCGTGGTCTAATAATCAGGCTTTCGACTATCGTTTAAGCTATTAATCAATTTATAGAAAAATTTAAATCATAATAAAAATTAAAATATTTGTAAAAACAATAGGGCAGGAGCGTCCACACAGAAGGGAGCAAAAGCGACAATTTGCCCTGGGCCCCGAATTAAAATTAAAGCATAAGTTAGTAACTTGGACATGAAACAGGAAATTCATTTTGTCCAAAATTGCATTGTAAAATTGTATTGTAAAACTGTATTGTAAAATATTTGCATATATGTAATTGATTTAGAATGCAGGTTGACGAAGGTAAAGTTAAAAGATCTCGAAAGGTCAGTGAACACTCGTCCAAATTTGCAGTAGCTGAACCATCAAAAAAGAAATTGAAAAGGAGATGACAGACTCCGTACGTGATATATAAAGTAACCATGTATATTACAGTATTTTCCACAAAGTTGTAACTCGTGACGCTCGATGCCGTATTGATTTATTTATTTATATAGTCTTGTTCAATTCTAGTAATGATTTATATTTTTATATCATTGGTTTTTTGATGTGGCGTCTTTGAAGGTTGCGATAGCCAATTAGAAGCCGTCTTGACAATGCATTTCATTTAAAGCAATCTTATTGGTTGTTTACACAAAGCTCGCGTCAGCAATTTTAAGCTGTACGTATTTTATCTTTCGTTCTGTTTTTGCTCCGAAAAGCAAAAGCAAACTTTTTTGTCAAAAAATCAAAACTTCAACATTGTTCTTTGGAACTCTTTGGGACTCTTTTGCTTGTCAAACCAGGAAAACACACAACCGTTTTTGAAAGAAAATAGGCGAACATAAAAGAAGAAAACATATTTGCTTCTAAAATAAAAGTTCTAGTTCGGAAAAACATTTTCTTTCCTGTCGTCAGCGAAACACTGCCGTAAAAAGGTATGTTTTCTTGTATTTATTGTATACATTCACAAATATGTCTCTTGTTTTTTAATTCTCAGCAAAAACATGCCTTTTAAATGTGAGTTATGTTTGCCTGGTTTGCAACTTGTATTGTTCTGATGAAAAATGTCTACTTTATTTTTAGGAGTTATATTACTGAAGAAGGTCTCATTGTCCCGAAAAATGGCAAGTTTCCAAAGCCCATCTCTTTCATCTGCAAAACTAAAACCATTGAGCCCGTTTGTGTCAAAGTTAAAGGTTTTGCTAAGCGATAGCAAGTACCAAGATGCCATACGGTGGTCGGTTAATGGCGAAGCAATTGTCATATTCAATGCGGACACTTTCAAACGAATAGTTTTGGACAAGACGGCGGAAATGTTCAAGACGAAAAACTTCACAAGTTTTGTTCGCCAGTTAAATTTGTACGGCTTCCGAAAGGTACCAACAAACGGAAAGTCTGACCCGAACAAGAATATGAAATTTGAACATCCCCACTTCGTGCAAAGCAAGCCGCAAATGATGCACCTGGTTCAAAGAACCTGCTCTTCCAGCAAGAAGCGAAAGACGGGTGGTGACATATTGCGTCCTCTTTATGATGACAAAGTCTCTCGGAGTCAACCAAGAGCGGGCAGAAAAAGCGAAAGTCATGCAAGGGAAAAGGCAGCTTGGCTCAATGATTATTATCAACAAGCGACCAAGAAACAAGCAAGCAAATTGTCTACGCCGTCCAAAGGAAACGAACTCGCTGTTTATCAAGATGAGGAAGCGTTCGAAGACAACGAACAACTCGCGTTGGAGTATATGTACCAGAAATTCAAAGAAGAACAACACGCCGTTCAGCTGTTGATGTATTTAAAGTATTCCCCACCAAATCCCGAAGTCTTTCCCACTGGCGTTTGGGAGCCACAATTACCACAACTTCAGGCAAGACACTCTGTGGTATATACAGGATCTCAACACTTACCAAACACCAGGCTATGTCACTGCCTGAGTTGCCCACCAGTATACGAGTCGACTGAACCAACCAGCCAGACAAGATTAATTTGAATTTTAAAAAGGCTAATTTGTTAGTATGTTCCTTCATTATTTAATTTGAATCAGTGACATTTAATTGACTGATAAATCGATTTAAATGAGGTTTTCCTCGTATTACTTTCAATCATTCAGCTTTCATTTAAGTTTTTCGAACAATGAAATAATTTATGAAAACCTGTTATTATGATACTAATGAAAAAATAGAACGAATGGTATTTTTGTAAAATCTGTACATAGAAATTGATATGCTGGACATACCACTTTTAATGGTTATTGAGAATTAATTTATAATGAATGTTGTAAATATTTAAAAACGATTTTTTACAATTAATAAAATGAGGTGGTATTTTTGAAAATGAGATGAGTATGGATCAGAAACAAATGTTTTATATTTGTACAGTTTTTAATTTTTCTACAGTATAATCACAGGTATAATCTCAATACACACCCTTCCAGAAAGTAAGTCACTTTGGCTTGTGATTGGGTTTCTACATAATAATGAAGCTCTAGGGTGTATTCAGACAGGTTTTGTCACTTTTGTGAGGTACCAGTCTAAATTAAACATGCAAAGGAAAAGTTCTTTGAAGTTACAATATATACATATATCTAATTACAAAGTTCATTATAAAACAACAGCTTGTTCACCACACTTCCCCCTCATCATCATTTTCATTGTCAGCATAGTGTATCATGGGTGGCTCAGCAGAGTCTTGCATACTACTAGTACCAGATTGCATTAGTTCTTCCTCAGACTGAACTGTGTCTGTTAGTTCTTGTCTTGGATTCAACCCATCGTCTTCTTCCTAACAATTCAGAAACAAAAGTTAAAAAAAAAAACAACATGTTTAATTTAAAGGTAATAGTTTTTACTACCATTTCAAGACAATTAAATAAACACCATATATAATATACAGGTTGAATACCTCTGAGACATAGTCTGGTAGAAGTTGTACATGATGATCTGGTAGTGTATTTTGTTTTTGTCGAAGCGACGAGAAATACAATCCAGTAACCACTAAAACAAGGCCTGCAAAAGATGTACAGTATATTGTATATATTAGATCTCTAGGTGTCAAATAAAACTTGAAATTTGTACAAATTACCTATAAGTTCTAAAACTACAATCCATGTGAACATGTGACTGAGGTGATGTAAAAATATCAAGTCTTCAAGCCATGTTGTGAAAGGAACTAGACACATCACTCTGTTTGTTGACTCAGCACCTGGTAAATTTTAAATCATTTAATATTGTTTAGATACTATAATTACTACCTTGTCTTGGCATTCTCACACTATACATGTATAACAAAATAAGCAAATGTAATTACACGAAACAGCGTTACCTATTTTTCTGTAGAGATAGTACAAGATAAGTGAGGCTGCCCAACTTGATGCAAGTGATAGAAATACAACTGACACTGAACCACTGAAACTATTCCAAACCACCTGAATTTAAAAAGAGAAATATATTTCTAAAAATACTTCCTGACATTTTAAGTATAGACCTTTGATCACAACTTGATACACAGATACCATGCACACTTACTTTGCTTGTGTTTATATGTTGTTCAACAATAAGCCACAGTATACCAGCATAGAGCCCACCAAACACATTGTTTAACAGACCACCAACCAGATAATGTAGACTGACTCGTTTTAATCTTGAAAATACTGTACAATATAGAAAATATTATCAGCTAAAGTAAACCAGTTCTGCTATGATTAGTTGCATTAGAAGTTCACTACAGATTCGATCATCTTTGGGACACCAGTTATTGCCAGAAGCTGTTACTTGTTCACTGGGTACATGCCATCTGGTTTAAAAAATTTTACGCATTGCATCACTATATACATAAACATTGTCTGGCTATATACAATGCATGAGAATGTAACTTTGAACATTGATATTAAGTATTTTGGTAAAAAAACAAGCATTTGATGACGGTTACCTGCGCTTATTGACCAGAGACATGTCGCGCCACACAGAGCAAGAAAAGCAGTTGTAATTTCCAGTGATGTCAAACAAGTATCGGGATGCAACTGAACTTTCTCTAACAAGATGTAATTCTGTGAACCATTACTAATGTTCCTTGATACATTTTTGTATGTTGCTTGACAACTTATGTCCATAGTAACCAAACATATATTTGCAACAGAAACAGCGACCATGCCAATCACACCAATAATTGAGCCAATAGCGTTCCAGTCATTTGCACCTGTCCTCTATACAGAAATATACGAGTCTTGCAAATATCAACCATGTAATAATTACTATATAGCATTATTACACACTGTAGTTGCCAAATTGACCGGGCATACTTAATCGATAAAAACCGATCATCGGAAATCCAATCGATCAATCGATGGTAATCGATGTTAATTACTAAATTGATATCGATTGACATTGATCAATCGATGACCAATCGATAGTCACAAAAAGCTATAGCCAAAAGTTATAGCCAATCATCGATTTTCATCAATATTTATCGATTTTTATCGACAACATGCTTTAGATTTTTATCGATTTATATCCTAACTAATCGCCACGTGTCGGCATGTTCGAGCTAAATAGTAAATCTGTTCTCATTTTTCGAATGTACACATGCATTTGATCTGTATTATAGCTAGATGAAAACTTAATTTAATCCATTGTTACTGAATTCCATTCACATTTGAGTTTGTTACGACATTAAAGTACGTATTAATTAAATTACGGTGTTACCTGTTTGATTGCATGCATATTAACGGATTTTTTCATCAATGAAAGTGAATAATAAATCGATGATCAATTGATTAAAGTCAGCAAAAGAAGCCATCGATTATTCATCGATTGATAAATATCGATTGGTATTGATTGATATCGATTATCGATTTCATCGATTATTAAGTACGCCGGGCAAATTGATTGGCCAAGAGCTTCAAATATGCACTAATTAACATAAAACAATGAACCATTACAGGAAACAGTCATGTACACGCGTAATTACTTCCTTGTATCAGACGTTCTAGCAAACATTTTTAGAACAACAATCAACATTTGTTAGTTATTCTCTTACCTGAGCAGTAACCGCGACAACTTGCTGGAGTAAGGCAGTTAACCAAGGCGTAGCACACATAAACACCGCTCCCAACGTTGGACTTAAATATTTCATTGCGTACATGAATAACATGTATGGTCCACAAAGCTGTAAAAATCCCAATAATGCAGCTCTTTTGTATGATCTTGAACTTTTGAAGTTATTTAAAATCTCTAGCTTATTTTCTTCGTCTTTTGAAGCCAAGAATAACACGGAAATAAGAAATAAAATCACAGTCCCTGGCGTACGAAGCAAAAATAATAAACCTGGCGTTTTATACGAACTGATTCCATAGTGAATTAACACTGAAAAACTACCGCGTATTAAAGCTAAAGAAAGAAAGCAGCACAGTGTTTGTGTCGCTGGTATTTTACGACCAGATTCAGACTCCATTTTGCTTGTATCGTGTGATGTTTTGTGATGTTTACACTTTATACATTTTTCTTTTTGTCCTGCATAATTACTTTGGTAAGTACTTCATGTATGCCTATTATAAGGTCCCGAAAAGAGGCCAAGAAAAGAGGCGAGGGTATATTAATTAAATACCGTATTTACTCGAATACGCTATATAGTAATTTTTGGGATTGTCTGAAAAGTTCAATTAAATGCAACATCGAGCTTTCCGATTGCTCGCCACCTCGGTCTTGTGGACAATTTTTTTGCTGTGTGGAAGCAGGGCGTCTATATAAGATAAGCGCCAATGTTTAGGAGGGCACTCGACAGCGAAGCTAAAACGACGACTTTAAATGGTAGTCTTTAATACTATGTTATGAATAAAACAACAACGAGGCCAAGACAAGCCACAAGAGTATACTAACATGAAGTAAAGGTCGCCTAGGCGCGAACAACATCGCAGGCGCATGTGATCTTTACTAACAACAATAACAACTAAAAGCCACACTATGGCGTGACTACTTTTTGTCTGTTTTTCTCTACATATTGTTCCGAGAGTGTTAGTGTAAACCAATATAAATTTAAGCTATATGTAAACGTTCAATTATGTAACAAAGTCTTGCAGGTGAACGGGAGAATGGCGTTGGCGACTGGAGCGTCGAGGGGCAGGTGAATCTTCGGATGCAGCGGGGGTGGAGGGTGACTGGCAGGGGCTAGGAAGACTAGTCGTGAGCTCATCAGCTTTATAAGAGTTAGACGGGGAATGTTTGTAATCAGGACCAGGGAAACAAGTGGTGTGAGATGAGGGTAAAACACAATCATCGTTGTAGGGTGGAAGGGATAACTTTTCCGGGACTCGAGGTGGACAGGGAGGCTTGGGTTCAGCAGCTGGAGTGTACTTGTGAGGTTGGTGGAGACGAGGACTTGGAGGTGGAGCAGTGAAATTGTTGGTGACAAGAAAGCACTCTGATAACTTGATGCGATATGGCGAGGATCGGAGTTGGGAACCAGCAAACTTGCGTACATTACACCACGACCCATCAATTGACACAACCAAGTATCGATCTCGTGCACGAGTTTTGGAGCCATCCGAAGTGATATATACCAGGTCACCAACTTGAAGGGCGGGCGATGCTCGGCGTTGACCACTGGGGGTTTTAGACTTCTCACTGGCAGGGTGATTATGTATACGGTGAGAGTGCTGTTCTCTGATTAGGTGTAGGTCGGAGATGGGAAGTTGCGAATTCGTAAACTGGTCACGCTGGTACCACATTTCACGGGCAGATAGACCTCTGTCACGAATACGAGTATTCAGGTTTGCCGTGGCAATCGCTAGTGTTACAGGGGAGACGGCACCACCTTCTGGAGAGACGCGCAACAGTTCATCACCGAGCTCAGCAATGCATTTCTCGGCCACGGGGTTCTTGTTCACGTTCTTTACGCGACCAATCTCAACGGTAATTTTATGTCGTCGCAATTCCTCGTCGTTGGATAGGGAAGCAAATCCGGGAGCTGGATCGACTCTGATTACTGCGCGTGGGCCAGATATTGGGCGTAGCTCAAGGCAGAGGAAAATGAGGCTAGCACGGAGAGTATCATGGCGTTCATTTTCTATTATGCAGGACGTGGTAAACGAAGTAGTTGTCTCGCGAACGACCAGGATGAGCTGTTTGTTTCTCTTCATTACATCGGCCGCGAATGAAAGGCCAACTGCATCAGGAGGGTCCGATGTGGACTGTTCAATCAAACAGTTGGGAATCTTCTGAAGTGAGGCACAAATGTGGCATGACTGTGAGCACCGGTCTAGGGCTTTATCAAGGTCCAATGCGTAGAAATAGCGAAGGACGACTTGTTTGAGCTGGTGTCGAGAAGGGTGGTTAAGTTTGACGTGGAGTGCCGTAAGCAGGCCGTCTATGACAGGGCGTGGGACGATGATACATTCGCGGGAGGGAGAAAAGGGCTCTTCTTTTCTAACGACCACTAGACCGTCTCTAGACAGAGAGGCAACATTGAGATAGCGCTTGACATCCTTAATATTGGTGGACTTCTTGGATGGACGGGTACCCTGCTTGAGATGAGAGTGGGCACGGCGTAGGTCGGGACATTCTTGTTGGGTTTGTAACCATGCAGAACGAGTGGTGAAGGGAAGAGTAACAGCGCCAGAGAGGACGTCATGGACGGAAATTGGGCGAACCACAGAGTCTTCAGCTTTAGAGATGAAGGAACAAATCTGACAACGAGGGTCATCACAGGGTGGTGCGTTGCGGCTTGCGAAGTCGGATGGCAGGTTGGCAGAGCCAGAAAGGTGACGGAGAGATATCTGGTATCGGCTGGCGGTGGAAAGGAAGGTGGTAACACGTGGGCTGGCGGAGAACTGGCCACGGCACAGTTTCTCGAAAGACTGGACGCAGGGTTTGCTGTCGGTCAGCACACAGGTTTGGAACTTGGACTGGATGATATAAGGAGCAAAATGTTTGATGGCAGACGCGATGGACAGTGCTTCAACTTCGCAGGGGAGCCAAGTAACTTGATGTTTTCTGGTCTTTGCGCTGAAGAAACCAGCAAGAAGTAATTTGTTGTCACGAAGGGCATAGAGTGTGGCACCGAGACCATTCATCTTCACAGAGCCGTCAGTAACAATCCAAAGTAGGTCTTCAGGTTTTGGGATCACAATGGACTTGTTGGATGAAAGTGCTTCTTGAGCGTGGTAGAAGGAGGTTGTAAGAGACTCAGACCAAACCACAGGGCTGCTTGATTGGTTGCCGGCGGTAATACTCTCGAGGGGGGCGAGGATGGAAGCTGAACCTTCAATAACACGGCTGAGCATTTTGTAGGATCCAATGAAAGCGCGAAGATCTCGGACTGTTTTTGGAGGGGTGCAGGAAGAGAGGGCTGCTATACGATGGGGAGAGGCACGAATTGAGCCGCGAGACCATATCCAGCCAAGGATGGTAGTTGAAACAGGAGAAATTATGGTTTTCTTGGCTGCGAGACGGAGATCACATTTATCTAGGGCTGTCAGGACTTTTCTCCAGTTGGATAGGAGCTCTGTAGGGGTGTTGCCACCGCA